CCCCCCCCCCGCCATGGAGCTGGTAGCCTGATGCAGGACTCGATCCCAGGACTCCGGGATCATGACCTGAGCTGAAGGCAGTCACTCAACCAACTGAGCCACCCAGGCGCCCTAAAACCACTGTTTTGACCAAAGACGTCTCAAGAATTCTTTCTTGGTCGTTGGCTCCACACTTCGCCACTCCAAACAATTGGACATCTAAATCTTTCCCAGATAAAATATGGTACTGAAGGATTGATGACCAAACAGAAGGTTTATCTGCTTTTGACTTCTTACTGCAAAGAAACTAAAGATACTTGAGTCTGTTGGTAAACATGCTTTGTGCTTTATTAAAAGATTGTACTATGGGAGCGCCTGGGTGGCCCAGTGGGTTAAGTCTCTGCCTTCAGCTTGGGTCATGATCTCAGGATCCTGATCTCAGGGTCCTGGGATCGAGCCCTCCGTCAGCCTCTCTGCTCAGCAGGGAGCCTGCTTCCCCCTCTCTCTCTGTCTGCCTCTCTGCCTACTTGCAATCTCTCTCTGTCAAATAAATAAATACAATCTTTTTAAAAAAAGATTGTACTATGGAAAAATATGTTTGTAAAAATTGTAAACTGTATTCTTCAGTTTCAGATAAAAAAAAGAATTCAGATCTAAAAGATCAGAAATAAATTTCATAAATTTCAGATCTCAAGGAATTCTGGTTGTAGCAGTTCACAGTTGGTTACTGTTTAGTTTTCACCGGAGATTATGGTTTCTAAGAGTTAAAATTCTTCTGCTAAATGTAATTAAGACTGATGGAGGGAAAAAGGCTTCGGTCAAAATTTGAATGAATAAAATCAAACAAGATGGGATCCGGAGGGAGACCAACCATAAGAGACTCTTAATCTCACAAAACAAACTGAGGGTTGCTGGGGGGAGGGAGGTCCTGGGATTGAGCCTTGCATCAGGCTCCTTGCTCAGCAGAGAACCTGGTTCTCCCTCTCCTTGTTGGGTTATGGACATTGGGGAGGGTATGTGCTATGGTGAGTGCTGTGAAGTGTGTAAACCTGGAGATTCACAGACCTGTACCCCTGGGGCTAATAATACATTATATGTTAATAAAAAATAAAAAATTAATTTAAAAATTTGAATGAATAGGTTGTAAAGGTTTGCAAAGGGAAATCACTGGAAAGGAATTTCGTAAGTGGTTGGGACTAAGTTTGAAATGAATGGATTTTTAAAGTACACTGGTATAAGATTACAACTCTGCTTTTCTTTTTGTTAAAGAGACAAAGTCTTGGATTGTTCATCTGCTTTTTATTTTATTTATTTGACAGAGCTATCATAAGTAGGCAGAGAAGCAGACAGAGAGGGAGGGAAGCAGGCTCCCCACTGAGCAGAGAGCCCAAAGTGGTGCTCTATCCTAGGACCCTGAGATCATGACCTGAGCGCAAGGCAGAGGCTTAACCCACTGAGCCACCCAGGCACCTCTGCATATCTGATCTTGATAAGAAACTGCAAACAAAAGTTTTTTGTTTTTGTTTTTTTTTTTTCTCTTTTGTCTCCAGGGAAAACCAAAGTTTCTATGTTTGGCCTTTTTCAGGTCTTTGATTACTTAAGATAGTTAAGACTTCTCAATATTAAAGGAACTAATTTTTGGTAACCATATAACCCTACCTACTTGCCCTTGGGAATTCTTACTGACACCTTGGTTAAATAAATTAAGTTCTAAATTCTTTAATGATCTCTAATACTATTTAGGCATGTGCTTTAAATTTTCTGAGGGTTTTAAACAAATACCCTCAAGATTTAAATTGTAAATGAAGTTTTTGTTTTTGTTTTCAAATGATAAACCTTAGGTTATGGTGCTTGGATAAATGCTGTAACTACTGTGGAGATTATATGCAGTTCCTAAAATTTATAATACATTTTTGTACAAGGCCACCACTTGATATTCTGATTATTGAAGTGTTATGTGTCACGAATAACTGGACTTCCTTGTCGCTACATTATAATGAATTCTCAGATCATTAACTAGGTCCATTTTTGAGTCTTTTGTCATTTACAGTTATTGTTCTAATCTCTTGTGAAACAAGTATCTTCAAGGAGATTCATGAAAAGAGCTTCTGACAAAGACAAGTTTTTGAGATCTTTAAAATCATAAAACTAGGGGCACCTGGGTGGCTCAGTGGGTTGAGCCTCTGCCTTTGGCTCGGGTGGTGGTCTCAGGGTCCTGGGATCCAGCCCCACATCGGGCTCTTTGCTCAGCGGGGAACCTGCCTACCTGTAATCTGTCAAATAAATAAATAAAATCTTTAAAAAAATAAAATAAAATCATAACACTAAAATGGGTAAGAATTTCCAGAACTTAATTTTATTTTATTTATTTTTTAAAAAGATTTTATTTATTTATTTGACAGACAGAAATCACAAGCAGGCAGAGACAGGCAGAGAGGGAGGGGGAAGCAGGATCTCCGCTGAGCAGAGAGCCCAATGCGGGGCTCAATCCCAGGACACTGGGATCATGACCCAAGCCGAAGGCAGAGGCTTTAACCCACTGAGCCACCCAGGCGCCCCCAGAACTAAATTTTAAAAGCTGCAATCACACTGAACAAGAATTAGTCATGGAACTAAATTAACCAAAGAAGATATTATAGTTTTTGTGACTCTTGTTTGAAACATTGTTGGTTCTCTAAAGTTTGCTCTTACAGATTAAGGAAACTTTTCAAGCTAACTATGACTCACAGAAATAGAAAATATTCCTTTGTGAACAATTAAAAATGTTTAACTTTTCTCTCTACCCGAACCCTCCACAATCCAGGAAACCCTTAATGAATATTCTTTTATCTATAGCAACTACAACTGTTTGAGTAAGTACAGTAAGACTCTGTTCTTGTAATAGGACACCACTGGAAACATTGGTTATTTTACCAAGGCTTTGACTGGAATGTCATATTTGAAAGACATGCATAGACTCAGATATAACTATACAGCTTTTTTAAAAAAATATTTTATTTATTTTTATTTGACTGACAGAGATCGCAAGTAGGCAGAGAGGCAGGCAGAGAGAGAGGAAGGGAAGCAGGCTCCCTGCTGAGCAGACAGCCTGATGCAGGGCTCGATCCCAAGACCCTGAGACCATGACCTGAGCCAAAGGCAGAGGCTTAACCCACTGAACCACCCAGGAGCCCCCAAACGTATCTTTAAAATATACCACAAGTTCTATAGCTCTGCTTCGCCTTTTGTCATTTTTCAATTTACTGCTAAGGCTCAGAACATACAAGTGGCCTCTCGGGTCACTAGACTTCTCTGAGTAAAAAAGTCTGCTTTTGATCTACTTTATCCCCCTCCAACAGCCAATGAGCCAAAGGGAAAGCCACAGGCAGCCGGAGGGAAACAGACCAGCCTCACTAAGCGCCCCTGGCGGCCGCTTTTTCTCAGGAGAACCCTTTTTCCGAGGGCGCCTAGCAACCGTTACGATGACAACCCACCGGCCCTCGCTCACCTCAGAGTGTGGCTGTCCTCTGCATCCCAGAAGGTACTGAGGGCCGCCAAGCCTTCCGCCACCCTCCATCCCAACATGCAACGGGGCTCATAGAGACAGGCGATCGTCACCAGATGGCTATAGAAACGCCTGAATATCTGCGTTCCTTTAAATACTAAAACTGTTATATGTCCAGAGATGAGAAAGAACTCTAAAGAGCGGTCTCAGTGACTTTTTTCAGAAAGTTCCGTTGTAAATTTCGAAGAGGAAAGCCGAATATTTCCCTAGACTCCCTCAGGCACCTCGTCGGGCAGCCCGCGCAGGCCCGCGGCGTGGGGGCCTCGGGGCCCACGTGCGGGAGGAAGTGGCGTTGTCTGTCCGCGCGGCGCTCGTAGACCCTTGAACGTGGAGCAATGGGAGGCCTGGAGAAGAAGAAGGTGAATGGGGCAGGAGCCGGGGAGGGGTGGTGCTGGGAAGAAGGGGAATGGGAGGGAGGGGGAAGCGAGGGTGCCAGGGGACTGCACCTTCCTGGCGTGGCCCTTCGTGCGTTCAGAAACGGCTGGGATCAACGGGATGAGAGACAGCTATGAGAAGGGTTCCGAGGATGGCAGTCCTCGTCCGATGAAGTCCAGGAAAGAACCTTGGAGCAGGGCTGTAGAAGAAAGTTGGGAGTTGCCAAAGAAAGCTTTACCCTAAATGTAGACCGGGCCGAAAGACAACTGCTTATTTGAAACAGTCATAAACATTACGTAAAGTTTACCATTATGTCAAGTTTATCATTTCCAAAACTTGTTATCCCTTCTTTGTTGAACCTACCCTGCACACTGGGGAGGGAAACATAAACAGTCAGGTGGTCCCTGCCTTCCCCAAGCTCACTTTCTAGCGGGGAAAGGACTCTAAACAACCAAATGAAACAATCACATGTTGTTAAATGTGATGCGAAAGGGTGGGGAATGTAAAAGAATACTTAGTTCAGTAAGTGTTGTGTTGGAAGGTCTCTCTGACTCGACATTTAAGCTGAAATCTGAAAGATCAGAGATCCAAATGGGTTCTGGGCCATGGGAGTGTTTAGCGAGCAAACCTGGCAGGGGACACACAGTGCCAAGACCGTTAGGTGGGAAAGGCTTTCTGTGTGCAAGAAATTAGGACATCAGGATGGCTGGCGGATAGCCAAACCAAGGGAAGAATGGCTTTTGGTGAGGTTGGGGTTAGACAGGAACCAGATGTGCAAGACGTGTGAGCCACCAGGAGGAACTTGGATTTTACATCAGGTGCAGTAGGTCTCAAGGGGAAGCACCATGGTCAGTTTTTCAAGGATTTCTTGTGCTGTATAGAGAATCACCTTGGTCGTGTGAAAAGACTGGGGAAGGGATGAAGGTGAGGAAGATGTAGTTGTCTCCTGTTTCCTTCAGATTGAAAGTTTCTGTTGCCTGTTTATGTTTAAGCCAACACAGTGTTGAATAACCAGTAAGTGTCAGTGTTTGGAATTACAAAGATAGAAGATGGAAAAATCTTCCTTGCAGCACAGATGCAGCTATGTAAACAAATCACAACAGTTTTTAATGCTGGGTTTCACAAGCGTCTTGAGTCAGATAACGTCCCCCCCCCCTTTTTTTTAAACACAGCACAAGCTCGGGAGCAGCAGGCAGAGAGAGAGGGAGAAGCAGTCTCCCTGCTGAGCAAGGAGCCCCTAGGATCCTGGGATCAGGACCCGAGTTGAAGGCAGATGCTTGACTGACTGAGCCACCCAGACGCCCCAAGCCAGATAACCCTTTGTGGTAGAGAGGGCTGTCCTGGGCATCATAGGGTATTTAATAGCATTCTGACTTTTTACATGCTAGATGCCACTGGCACTCAGCAGTCCGAAATGCCTAATTGCCTTCCCTCCATCCCGCACACACCCAGGAAGTAAAATCACCCCAGCTGAGAACTACTTACCTCCTTGATGTTTAAAAGGATAAGCGGGATGACAGACATAGGTGTGATGTAAAGCAATGGCAAACACTTTTAATGAAGACCTAACTTTCTGAGACAGTCTGAAGCTCATCTTTATAACCCCAGTAGACAATTTCTGGAGGAAAGAATAAAGGAAGGATGTATTTTGTGATGGGGTGATCGGAAGGTGGGGATCATAAACATACTCTTTGAGGGGCTGTAGGTTTATTTCTTAGAGCTAGACCTGGCCATCAAGGTCCCTGCTGCCTTACTGCAGACAATGATCTTGTTTGGAAAGGACATTCTTGGTACAATGCACTATTGCTCTTTATCATTGATACAGAGATGCGAACATGAGACAGGATGTTGGCACTGCAGACATCCACATGATTGCATCAGACAGTATGCTCCTTGGGGGCGGGTAGAGACCAGGTCTTCAGTCTTCATTGCCTTTGTAGCATCTAGCTTAATACATGGAACGTAGTAGAGGTTCTCTTATTTTCCTTTGAATGAATGCTGGAGGGGAGAGGCTTTGGCTTAGAGCATGCATTCTCAACTGGGTATCACCCACAAGAATTAGTTGAAGGGGTTTTAGATTTCAGTGATTTGTGACCCTTTGTTTTTATTTATTTTTAATTAATTAAAAAAAGATTTTATTAATATATTTGACAGAGAGAGACATAGTGAGAGAGGGAACACAAGCTGGGGAAATGGGAAAGGGAGAAGCAGGCTTCCCACCAAGCAGGGAGCCCAATGCAGGGCTCAATCCCAGGTCCCTGGGATCATGACCCGAGCTGAAGGCAGCCACTTAGGGACTGAGGCACCCAGGCGCCCCTTTTAATTTATTTTTATTAACATACAATGTATTATTTGTTACAGGGGTACAGGTCTGTGATTCAGTCTTACACAATTCACAGAGCTCACCATAACATACACCCTTGCCAATGTTCATCATCCAGCTACCCCATCCCTCTCACCCCTGACCCCTCCAACTGTCAGTTTTTTTCCTGAGATTAAGAGTCTCTTATGGTTTGTCTCCATCTCTGGTTTTGTCTTTTTCATTTTTTCCTCTCTTCCTTTATGATCCTTTGCCTTGTTTCTCGCAGTCCACATATCAGTGAGATCATATGATAATTGCTTTTCTCTGATTGACTTATTTTGCTTAGCATAATACCCTCTAGTTCCATCCATGGTGTTGCAAATGGCAAGATTCCATTTTTTGAATGTTGTGTAATAGTCCATTTATATACCACATCTTCTTTATCCATTCATCTGTCAGTGGACATCTAGGGTCTTTCTGTAGTTTGGCTGTTGTGAACATTGTTGCTATAAACATTGGGGTGCAGGTGCCCCTTTGAATCAGTACATTTGTATCTGTGGGGTAAATACCCAGTAGTGTAATTACTGGGTCGTAGGGTAGCTCTATTTTCAGCTTTTTCAGGAACCTCTGTACTGTTTTCCAGAGTGAGTGGTTGCACCAGCTTGCATTCCCACCAAAGACTGTAGGAGGGTTCCCCTTTCTCTGCATCCTTGCCAACATCTGTTTTTTCCTCACTTGTTGATTTTAGCCATTCTGACTGGTGTGAGGTGGTTTTGATTTGTATTTCCCCAATGCCGAATGATGTTGAACACTTTTTCGTGTGTCTGTTGGCCATCTGGATGTCTTCTTTGCAGAAATGTCTGTTCATGTCTTCTGCACATTTCTTGATTAGATTATTTGTTCTTTGGGGTTGAATTTGATAAGTTCTTTATAGATTTTGGATGCTGGCCCTTTATCTGATATGTTATTTGCAAATATCTTCTCTCAACTCTGTTGGTTGTCTCTTGGTTTTGTTGACTTTCTTTTGAAGGGGTCTTAGATATTTCAGTGGTTTGTGGCCCTTTAAAAGACCATATTACAGGGATGCCTGGGTGGCCCAGTGGGTTAAGCCTCTGCCTTCCACTCCAGTCATGATCCCAGGGTCCTGGGATCGAGCCCCGCATCAGACTCTCTGCTCAGCGGGGAGTCTGCTTCCCCCTCTCTCTCTGCCTGCCTCTCTCTCTGCCTACTTGTGATCTCTGTCTGTCAAATAAATAAATAAAATCTTAAAAAAAAAAAAAAAGACCATATTACAGGGGTGCCTGGGTGGCTCAGTTGATTAAGCTTCTGACTCTTGACTTCGGCTCAGGTTGTGATCTCAGGTCATCAGGGATCTGCACTCAGAGAAGAGTGTGCTGGAGATGCCCTTCCTCTGTACCTCCTGAGTGCACGCGTGCGCGCTCTTTCTCTCTCTCTCCTCTCTTAAGTAAATAAACAAAATTTTTAAAACAAACAAGAAAGAACACATTACATAACAGATCTTTGGTATGTCTGTAGTAACATTTCATGGGGCTGTGAGAGGGGACAGTTAAGGGGGGAGACAGTTTAAAAAGGCTTCTCATGGTAGGGGTTGGTTACAATCAAAACGTTGAAAAAACTGGCTTAGGGGATTAGGCACTGAGGCGTAGGATTCCAACCTGCATTTGAATCACAGCCCTTAAAAGCTATGTGACCCGGATAGGTTATTTCACTAAGTCTGTTTATTCTCAGTAAAATAAATTTTAATGGCACCCATGCCACGGTGTTGTGAGATTAAATGAAATAATGTGTGGAAATCACTAATCATAATGGCCAGTACTTAGAGCCACTCCCAAGTGCTTGGCTTAGCACCTGATCTATAGCAACCTCGTGGTCCCCAGGGTCATGCAGATGTGTGTGTCCTTTACACTGATTACTGCAAGAACGTGCAACAGAGCTTGTTCAGGCAGGTGGACTCCCTCTCTATAGCATTTCCTTTCCCAGAAGCCTCTTGGCTACTTGTCCACAGTGATTATTGCCTCTGGCCTGAGGCATGCCCAGAGATTGATGTCATCACTGCAATCAATGCTAATGGTCATTTGTTTTTTTTCCCTCCCCAAGTATGAACGAGGCTCCGCCACCAACTACATCACCCGAAACAAAGCCCGGAAGAAGCTGCAGCTGAGCCTGGCTGACTTCAGGTGAGGGTGGAGAGAAGTAGAATAGGGGAACTGCAGGGAGGTGCCTGGGTGGTGAGTCACACTCAGTGATGGTGAAAACTTAGCTGTATCCGTGTCTTAACCTACACTGCCACAAACTCTGTGTAGAATTCTGATAGCCCTAGTCTGGCTTTGCTTTAATGAGCTGTGCTTTGCCAGGGGTGGGTCTGCGGGGAAGCTGGAGAATGGGTCATGTCACGCTGGGTCATCAGAATGGGCCCACTGCTACCTTGCATTGCTGCTCTCTGGCTGGGTCTTTGTCACCCGTCCCCTCCCTTCTGGCAGAACAGACTCCTGATCCTGCAGCCAGGGGCTCTCAGCTCCTCGTAGAGTCAGATGTGTAGTTTTCCATAGCCTGTGGGCTCTGCTCTGTGGCCCACTTTTGGTCACCCAGCACTTTCCATCCTTACAGCCTCTGTCCTTCTAGAATGCTTTTCCCCTTTTATATGACTGAAATGTCAGCTTCTCAGCAAGGCCTTTTCTGACTCCCTTTGCTTAAAGGGGTACCTGCCATCTGGCCCCTGTCAGCATCCTGATTATTTCCTTTCTGGTACGTGTGACAGTCTACATTAGGTGATTTTTGGGGACTTGTGTTGATCAGGTCCTGCACAGGGACATGAATTCTCCAAGGGTAGGGCCCCTGTTTTCCCTGTTCCCAGCTGTTTTGCAGGCCTGATGTGGCCAGCGCTCAGCGCGTTTACTGACAGAAGGAATGGTCTTTGTCTTCCAGGCGGCTGTGCATCTTGAAGGGCATTTATCCCCATGAGCCCAAACATAAGAAGAAGGTTAATAAGGGCTCCACAGCGGCCCGAACTTTTTACCTTCTTAAAGACATCAAGTTCCTCCTCCATGAACCCATCGTCAACAAGTTTCGCGAATACAAGGTGAGGCTGGGGCTCTAGGGTCTGGATGGCATCTGTCGCTGCTCTGTGACCCACCAGCTGTGACCTCGGGCAGAGTGTTTAACCTTTCTGAGCAAGAAGGGTGAGGTAATTCTACCTCAAATGAATGTCTCGAGGATTAACTGAGATCACATGTGGAAATCATTTGCACAGAACCTGGCAAATGATTCACACTTTACCTGCTGTACCTTTGGCCTGAATCTTCTAGAGAATAAATGTGTTGCCCTTGAAGCAAAGATGGTACTAGTTCAGGGACTCTTTGGTGTATTCTTACGCGCCCAGAGAAACTGCGCCTTTTCAAATTCTTTCTGGAATCGCTCCCAGGAGACCAGGCTTTCCATTCCATAAATGGAAACCATTCACTGCTTAAGTACCATAGGGAAAACAGAGACCTCATTGGACCAAATGCTGATCGTTGAAAGGAGACTGCTGTTACTGAAGCCTGTGTGGAGCAGCGGGACCCAGCTGAGCTCTGGGCTGGGAGGAGCCAGGCGCCACCTGGTGGCCACAGGAGACTGGTCAGCCCCACATGCTGGCCCTTGGAATATCCAAGTCCAGGGGGTGGGTGGCTGGCTCTGTTTTGCTGCTGTGTTTTTTTTTTTTGTTTTTTTAAACTACTTAAACCCACTGCATTGGAAGTGGGACCATTGTGGGAAATGGCTGTCTTGGCTCTTCGGCAGCCTTGGAGCCTCTGAAGAGCACCAGAGGCAGGCCTGGCCAAAAGTACTTACAGGGAAGACTTCAGTTGGTTTGGAGGACCTTGTGGGCCCATGCCTGGCTTCAGCTGCATTTTCCTGCATGACCTGGCCGCACGCATGGACCCGTGGCTTGTTTCATGCCCACACAGACTGGTACTCAGAATGAAGGCCAGCTTTCCCGGCCCAGTGCTGCTTTGCGAGTAGGTCACTTGGGCTCAGTTGGAAAATAGGGCTGAACACATGGTGTTTTCATGTTTCATGTGGTGGAGTCAGCACATCAGAGTGGTCATCTCTGGTCATCCACCACAGGGCTACAGAGGGCTGGCTCTGCTCATCTGTGTGGGCCAGCTGGGATTTTTTTTTTTTTTAAAGATTTTATTTATTTATTTGACAGAGAGAGATCACAAGTAAGAGGCAGGCAGAGAGAGAGAGAGAGAGAAGCAGGCTCCCTGCTGAGCAGAGAGCCCGATGCGGGACTCGATCCCAGGACCCTGAGATCATGACCTGACTGAAGGCAGCGGCTTAACCCACTGAGCCACCCAGGCGCCCAAGCTGGGATGTTTTTAGGAGTTCACTGTTTTATACATCCCAGGCTGAGGGCATCAGCTGGCATAATCAGACAGCTGTGGTCAGCTTTAGGAGGTCCTGAGAGTCCTCCCGCCCATGTGTCCCTCTTTGGTGGAAGAAGGGTCTCCAGGAGCCCTTGGCCCCAGCATCAGTGATCTCTTCCTCTCTCCCAGGTGTTTGTCCGGAAGCTCCGGAAGGCCTATGGGAAGAGTGAGTGGAACACTGTGGAGCGTCTGAAGGACAACAAGCCCAACTACAAACTTGACCACATTGTTAAGGAGCGGTGAGTTGGGGACTCAGTCCTAACACCAGGACTCTGCTCAAATTGCTGGAGGAAGCAGACCAAAAAAACCACGGATTGTTAGAATGACAGCAAGTACCATGTGGGATGCTAACTATATGAAGGGACCTGGGGGACATATGTTACCTATGGGTTTATCAGAGTAGGTGTCTAGGGGTAGACATTTGAGCCAGTCAAGGGAAATATGGTTCAAGCAATGGGAACCACAGATGCAAAGGCCCTGTGGTTATTAAGAGCCAGAGTTCTGGGATTGCGCCCCAGGCACGTGGGGCAGACATGGCAGGCATGGCTGGGTCCCTCTGATCTTTTTTTTTTTTTTTTTAAGATTTTATTTATTTGGCAGAGAGGGAGCACAAGCAGGAGGAGTGGCAGGCAGAGGGACAGGGAGAAGCAGGCTCCCCACTGAGCAGAGAGCCTGATGCAGGGCTCAATCCCAGGACCCTGGGAGCATGACCTGAACCGAAGGCAGACACTTAACTGACTGAGCCACCCACGTACCCCTAATCTTAAGTGTTCTTTTCCAGCCTTCTCAGTAGTCCCACTCATCCATCGGCTAAGGCTATGGTTCTTTTTTTTTTTTTTTTTTTTTTAAGATTTATTTATTTATTTATTTAACAGACAGAGATCACAAGTAGGCAGAGAGGCAGGCAGAGAGAGAGAGGGGGAAGCGGGCTCCCTGCTGAGCAGAGAACCCGATGCTGGGCTCGATCCCAGGACCCTGAGATCATAACCTGAGCCAAAGGCAGAGGCTTTAACCCACTGAGCCACCCAGGCGCCCCTAAGGCTATGGTTCTTAACCAGTAGCAGAATTGGTTCCCAGGAGACATATGGAAATGTCTGGAGATACTTGCGCTTCTCATGACTTGGATGTGGGGCAGGAGAAGGAGTCCTACTGGTGTTTAGTGGGTAAAGACCAGGGAAGCTGCTAAACACCCTATAGTGGATAGGACAGTCCCCGTCACACAGAACAGCTTGGCCCAAATTGACAGTGCTGGTAAGGTTCAGAAACCCTGGGCTAATGAACATCATCTTCCCTTGGGGGCTGACAGCCTGGGAACAGTCACTCTGGGCTGGATGGACTTGGCGTGACTGAGTCAGGCCCGCCATGGGCTAGCACAGAGAGAGCCCTGGCCTAGGAGCCCAACATGGGGTGTCCTCACCACAGCTCTGCAGCCTGCAAGCTGGGTGGCCTGAGAACGTTCCTGCTCCGAGTACGTCCTCCTCTGAGAGGGAGACGATAGCTCCTGTCCTGCCTGTGTCACAGCTGTCATGCCTGTGTCCTGCCTGTGTCACAGCTGTCATGCCTGTGTCCTGCCTGTGTCACAGCTGTCATGTGGAGCAAATGCAAAACTTGTACTAGGAAAAAGCCAAGTATCTGGATTCATGCCCAAACCAGGTGGCAGTGTGGTTATGGAGTTCCAAATTCACCGCCCCCCACCCCAGCCCTGATCTCCTTTGCCATCGCCTAAAAAAAAGCTGGTGTCTCAGAAACAGTTGGTGCTGTTCCTACAAAGGTCCTGGCCAGGTTAGTGTGTTTGTGCGTGAAGTGCAGAGAGAGGACACTTAGGAGACACCACAAGGGGCCAGTTGAAGTTTCTGCCTGCACACCAGAAAACCAGATGCCCCTCCTCCTGTTGGCTTTGGAGAGGTCCCTGCGGCCTTTCTTCTGTTTCTGTGTGCTGTGAAGACTGGCAGGTTCCTCCTGGTGCACTGCAGGGAGTGATGCCACATGGGGCTGGAATGACCATGGCCGTCTTTGGTCTCATGGCTTTCAGAGTCCCTTTTTGAAGCAGCAAAACGCTTTCTGCAAAAGAAAGCTTCCTGGAAGGCAGTTTGGGTTCAGAGGCTCCGACAGCCGCTCTGGCTAGGGGAGGGACGCCTGAGGCCCTGTCTGACCACTTGTCCCTAGGTGTTTCCAGGGAGCTACAGGAGCCCAGTTTTAAACCAACAGTTTGGTCCAACAGTGTCATTTTCCAGATGAAATCACTGGAGTTGGGTGAGGCCCAGGGACTCATCCTGGGTCACAGCTGAGATGGGAATCCAGGTGTCATTACACATACTCCAGTGTCCTCTTCATGACCCAGGCCTCCGTCCCTCAGCAGGGCAGCCACGCAGTAGTGGATCCTGCCAAGGATGGCATGTTCTTGTCAGCTTCTTAATTTGTCACAGGATTCCTGGAAGCGCTTTTTTGCTCTGGCTTTTCCTGGCCCAGGACTGAAAAAATTCCAACATTTTTGGCATTTGGTTCCAGTTGCTCCTGCAATCCAGACCAAGGGCCGGGTGAGGAGGGATGAGGCATGACTCACTCTGGTGACCTGTGGCCGGGCCAAGCCGTGAGTGCTGCTGAGTGCAGGCCGGCCCCCATTCTCCACCATCACACACTAGGGCAGCGTCATATTTTTCTGCTTTTGGTTTTGAACATTCGACTGTATTTGCTTTGAACTGCAGTTCCTACCTTGAAAAATAGACTCGGTCCACTCTGTTTGACCACAAATAGAAGTGGGTCCAGGCTGAGTCCTTGGTGGGCAGTGACTGTTCAGGACCCCATTTGGGATTTCTCTGATCCTCAGAGCTAAGTGGGCCTGGCCTCATTCCATGCTTTCTCCAAGGCTCTGGGGAAGCTGCCGCTGCCAGGCCCCTGGGCATTGCCCAACTTTGTGATCAGGAGATGGGAGTGGCAAGACCTGCTTGGGAATGGGGCCTCTGGGAGTGACTGACAGGGGAGAAGAGGAATCCAGCCCTCCCCCCACACCCCGAGCCCAGCCTGCCCAAGCCTGTGAGCACTGCTTTCCTCGGCTTGCAGGTACCCCACATTCATAGATGCTCTGCGGGACCTGGATGATGCCCTCTCCATGTGTTTCCTCTTCTCCACCTTCCCACGGACTGGCAAGTGCCACGTGCAGACCATTCAGCTGTGCCGCCGGCTCACTGTGGAGTTCCTACACTATGTCATTGCTGCCCGCGCCCTTCGAAAGGTATGCCTGGGGCCACCTGTGGGAGGGGTTGCCGCTCTTCTCCCTGCCCTGCCTCCCAGTGCTTTTCACCCTACCGTGCCCTCCCCCCAGGTCTTCCTGTCCATCAAAGGCATTTACTACCAGGCCGAGGTACTGGGGCAGCCCATTGTGTGGATCACACCCTATGCCTTCTCCCATGACGTGAGTACACCTGTGGGGCAGGCAGGGGCTTGTGCTGGGGCGTTGCTCATTCTCTGGCTCCTAACAGACATCAGGAGTTGGGCAGAGGGGGGATTTTGTTGTCTTTCACAGTCCAGCATGTGCTGGGTTTCCAAGTGCAGCAGGGGTATTGTGTGGGGGTGAGGGATGTCCTGCACAGTGTTGTAATGACAGCTTGAGTCTGCCTGTGTGCAGTCCTCCCCTGCTGGGTGACCTTGGACATGGTCCTGCCTCTTTCTGTGCCTCAGTTCATGAATGATGTTTTTCCACGTGCTAAGTCTTGTCCTGAGGATGTAAGGGGAAAAAAATCTTGTAGAATGCCTGGCGCTAGGCCCTTTGGGAGTGCCGTGTGGCCAGTGAGCAGCCGCCAAAGCTCGGGAAGTAGCCGAGCCCAGCCCTGCCTTCAGAGCCATGGGATCGTCATCCCGCTTTGCTGCTAGTGGCTGCCAGACCTTGGCCAGGCTGCTCTGCTTAACCCCTCAGCTTCTCCTGACTCCTACCCAGGGTTGGGGGCACTGGGTGAGGTGGGGGAGGATGAGGACATGAGAAGTTTTTAGCACAAGGCACTACTTCCTATTTATCTTGGTTTAGACTGGGTGTTTTGGGCAGGGATTCACAGAGAGAAATCCTGCTTTTGCCTCCTTAGGGGGCAGCATTAACCTTTGGTCCCCCGCATGGTCTGGGCCAGACTCTCCTTCTGCCGCACTTGTCATCCTCTGGGCCTGTGTCTGGCCGGGTCTCCTGCCTGTGCCTTGAGCAGCAAGTGTGCCAGCCTGGCTGGACAGTCTGTTTGCTGACCAGGTTAGCAGGTGCTGCAGGGCGAGCTGGGGATCTGGGCCCCTCCCCTTTACTCTGGGCTGGCAGGGGTCCAAGGCTGGAACCCACTCTGATGCAGGGTAGTGGAGCTGTCTGGGGGCAGGCTGCAGTCCATGGGTGAGAGGCGCCTTGGCCTTCAGCAGTCTTCTCTTCCCACTCTCCAGGGCCCATATGTGTGCCAGAGCCTGTGGCCCCTCTCTTTTCCCCATCCCGTCCCTCCCCTCCTTCTCCTTCCTTCCTGTCTTCTTGCCATGCCTCCTTCCTCTCTAGCCCTCCCTCTTTTTCCTTCTCTCTGATGTGCCACCCCCATGCTGCTCAGACTGGTCTTTGTATGTTCTCCTGGTGGTGAATAGGGCCTGTAGAGGCCAGCCTCCGCACAGCTGGCCCTGGGGGAAGGGAACAGGATGCCGTTCCTCCTTCCTCCCTGGCCAACTCACTGCCACTACTTCCTCTCAGCCAGAGGATGGGGGACCGGTCCTGGGTCATTACTGAGGCCCTCGTGTACCTTCTTCCCCCTGAGTGGCTAGTGCTGGGCTCCTCAAAGTAGGACCCAGGCAAGTAGTGGGTGGGGTGGGGACGGGGGGAGCAATGGGACCCTGCTCAGCGCTGTGCTGTGGAAAATGGAGTTACGGAGTTAGTCCTCAGATGCTTCCCTAGCAGATGTTCTTGGAAGGATGGAGGTGTGAGTGGGGGCACGGGTGGAGTACGTCTTGGTCCCTGTATCCTCACACTGCCTAATGGCAGAATAGAGAAACAGCTCAAGGTCATGGGCACGTGTGGCATGAAGGGGATGTTGTGAACACTACCGGTTTTGACATTATTCAGCATATTCTGCCATCCAGCTTCTGGGTGGTCAGCAGGGCTGGGCTCGCCTCCCTGGTTGTGGGGGCAGTGTTGCTCAAGAGTCGAGATCCTTCCCCTGTTTTGCTTTATCAACTCCTCAAGGGCAGAGATGAACCCTGTCATACCCCGTACTTGCCGGGTTGGTAGCTCTCAAGGGTAGCCATGTGCTTTTGCCCCAAGCAGGCAGCTTTTCTCCTGCCATTTCTCCAGAGCTTCCTGGGGCTGAGTCAGGCAGCTGTCCCATCCTGTCCTGGGTTCCTTGGGTTCTGCGTTTGTCTCTGGCTTGGGACTTGGCCTGGGCCTCTGAGTTGAGTGTTCGTTCCAAGGCTCCTGCCAAGGTGTGAGGGTGCTGAGTTGTACCCCCGCAGGCCGACAGACTGCTGGAGGGCCAACTCTCCCAGCTGGGGTGGCGATGGAGCTAGGCACAGGGAGGTTAGCAGGCGAGCCCAGGAGAAGACATTAAATGAAGACTGTGGGATGACTCATGGCGAAGGATGAGCTCTGGCCAGGCTGGCGGTGGAAGGCCACCTCTGTGACCGAAGTCTGGTTTGAGCCAGGACTTGCAGGATGAGTGAAAGCTGGGTCAGGGGCGGGGGAGCTTCAGCCAGTCCCTTTCATCTTCCTCTTTATGGCTTGGGGATTTGGCTCTGGCCTCAGGATGCCCCTAACCCTGGGGAACCCTGTCCAGTGCCTCCCCCAGAGTGCTTGTGGGACACGCCACAGAGCCCCTTCTCATGGGGTAGGGGTCTGAAGGCAGGGCCGCCATGGAGGAGCCTTGGGCAGGCTGGAGTCACCTCCTGTGGGGGTTGCCAGTGCCGTCTTTTCCCTCTACCTGCACCTGCCTTGCCAACGGGTCCCCTGTGCTCCGCAGCACCCGACAGACGTTGACTACAGGGTCATGGCCACCTTCACTGAGTTCTACACCACACTGCTGGGCTTCGTCAACTTCCGCCTCTACCAGTCGCTCAACCTGCACTACCCGCCCAAGGTAGGGCCCCAGCCCAACCCAGCCCAGGTTCTTCTCAGTGTGCAGGGGCCATGGCCCTGCTGCCCACACAGAGATGGGGCTCTGGCATCCTCTCCCTCTGACCTTCTCCTTGCCTCGCAGCTGGAGGGGCAGGCCTACACAGAGGCGAAGACCAGTGAGGACACCTATGCGTTGGACTCCGAGAGCTCTATGGAGGTGAGAGAAGCTTCCAGAGTACTGGCCCTGCGTCCTCCTAGAAGGGTGGTCACTGGCCTGGTGGTGTGGATATGCATGGCTAGATGGGTGGGCTCAGGGCTTGCCCTTGGAACCCAAGCCCACTGATGTCCCAGAACTGTCACTGCTCCTGCTACCCCCACCCTGCCACTGACCATGTCCCCAGCCAAGACCTCCTATCTGTAAGCAGTGGCCCTGCTTCTTTCCTATAGAAACTGGCAGCCCTGGGTAACAGTCTGGCCCGCGTGGTGGTGCCTGCGGAGGAGGAGGCTGAAGTGGATGAGTTTCCTGCTGATGGGGTGAGGACTGCATGTCAGGGTTGGTGGGGGTGCGTGCTGGGACTGAGCGCTCTGGGTGGAAGCTGGGGGACATCTCCGCCTGCTGCCCTCCAGTGCGGGTGTGAGCAGGCCCAATGGCACCACGGCCTCTTTCATGGCAGGAGATGACAGCGCAGGAGGAGGACCGAAGGAAGGAGCTGGAGGCACAGGAAAAGCACAAGAAACTCTTTGAGGGCCTGAAGTTCTTCTTGAACCGTGAGGTGCCCCGCGAGGCCCTGGCTTTCGTCATCAGGTGGGAGGCTGATGGCCCTGGCTGTGCCCTGCTCTGGGCTGGGGCCCATCCCAGATGCCCCCCAGTAACACAGGATGGTGGCAGCACGCACCCCTCAGGGCTGTGGTGCAGAATCACCAGGGTGGGCGTAGGGAGCGTCCAGCACCAGCATGTGGGGAGATTCTGGTGTTGGGGAGGGGATAGGTGTGTCCTAGGGGGGTGCGCTTCATGCTGGATACTCCTGTGCTCTCCCCCTATGCCTGTAGGAGCTTCGGGGGGGATGTGTCCTGGGACCAGTCTCTCTGCATTGGGGCCACATATGACGTCACAGACTCCTGCATCACCCACCAGATTGTTGACCGGCCTGGGCAGCAGACACCTGTTATCGGCAGGTAGATCCCCAGGGCTCTCATCTTCTTCCATCTGTTTGGATTTCGGGGTGGGGGGCAGAGGTCTGTCTCTAACCCCAGGGCGGGGGGGATCAGGTTGCTGCTATGACCTGTCTCTGCCGCCAGGTATTACGTGCAGCCCCAGTGGGTGTTTGACTGTGTGAACGCGCGGCTCCTCCTCCCCGTGGCAGACTACTTCCCTGGAGTGCAGCTGCCGCCACACCTCTCACCCTTTGTGTCGGAGAAGGAGGGAGATTACGTCCCTCCCGAGAAGCTGAAGCTGCTGGCCCTGCAGCGGGGGGAGCACCCAGGTGAGTGGGCCAGGCAATGGCATGGGTGGGTTTCTCCGGGCTGGCTTTGGCCTCACCTCATTTCCCTCCTTAGCTGCAGAGGTGGCAAGCTCCTGAGAATGGGACAGTCAGGCTTAGGAGAGGGAACACATGTGTCCTACAGTCTGCTGTTCCTTGATGGTCAGAGTAACTGAGCAGGAGTGGTCTGGAAGTTGTCATGGGTATTTATGTAGGAGGTGGCAGAGCTCGGGATTGGGGGCCTGGAGTTTCCTCAGAAGCCAGCTAGGGCTGTAGGGAGAGGTGCCAGGGGGAGTCACAGTTGGGACAGCCCTGCACCCTCTTTGGAACGTCTTCGTGGCTGAAGAGTGTGGTGCCTGGGCCCAAGTGCTCGGCCCGGAAGGAGAAGAGGAGGCTCCCAGGGCTTTCAGAAGTCACTGCCCTTTCATAGAAAATATGGATGAATCTGAAGAGGAGGATGAGGAGGAAGACAATGATGGTGATGGTGATGAAGGGGGAGAAAATGAAGAGGAGGAGGAAGAAGATGCAGAGGCTGGTTCAGAAAAGGAAGAAGAGGCCCGGCTGACAGCCCTGGAGGAGCAGAGGCTGGAGGGGAAGGTACTGGGAAGCTGCTGGGGGGTGCCCCACTGGCCATCTTTGGTGCCAGCCCCGGCCCAGAATGGCAAGAACCAGGGGACCAGTGGGGGTGGGGGACCCAGCATCCACAAGTGTCCGCCCTGTGTCCCCAGAAACCCAGAGTGATGGAAGGCACTGTGAAGCTGGAGGACAAGGAGAGGCTGGCGCAGGAGGAGGAGAATGAAGCCAAGCGCCTGGCCATCATGATGATGAAGAAGCGGGAGAAGTACCTTTATAACAAGATCATGTTCGGCAAGAGGCGCAAAATCCGAGAGGTGAGTCCCTGTCACCTGCCCGAGACTCCCAGGTGAACCTGGGGGCCGGCTGGCTGTCCGCTGTGCAGACTCCGGGTCCTTAGATTTTTTCTGAGGTTGCCGGTCTGGCCTGGCCCAGTCCCTGGGGCCCCCATGCCGGCCTGTGTCGGCATCTTGGTGTCAGCAGCTTGTGCCTGGGCTTTCTTCAGAGCATCAGTTTCCTTCTGACACCCAGCTCTTTCTGAGTTTATTGGCGTCTGGGGACAGAGCTGTCTCAGCAAACTCCAGGCCCGCTTTCGCAAATGACCACTTAACAGATGTGCATAAAGCAGGAGGGACTGTGGAGGTCTGGGTTAGGTTTCTATTTTGTTTCCTCTTGTTCACAAAGCCAGAAATGCTCATTGTAAAAAAAAAATTTTTTTTTTTGAAGTTCTTTGCACACCAGAACTCTGTAATCAATGATGTGGGAGTGGCTCACAGTCCTGCTTCTGGGGTGATCTGTAGTAATAGCACCCCAGTTTCTTCTGTGTGTGTAATAACACAGGGTTTTGGAACCATCATGCTACGTACGGGTGGTTTAGAGGGTATTTTTCATTTAATCATAGAGTGAATTTCTTGCTATGACCTCATACAAGTGATCTGTTCTCTAGATAGAATCAGTTTGTTTTTCATTTTGAGGCATTCTTAGAAAACACCCTTGAGTGCAGCCCTGCCTCCTCTGAAGTCCCTGCAGGGTCCATTCACAGGCATGTAATTGGCTAGGTTGAAAGACCCATGTGTGTTTTGTAGTTGATATTTCCAAATGGGCCCCAGGGGAAAGACCCCTCCCCAGCAGCCCGGTGAAGGTGATTGGCACTCAGCTTTCCCGAGGAGGAAGGTAAACGGGGCAGTTGCTTCTAGCTCTGGGAGCCTGGGATCCTCCTAACTTGTTAGGGGCCCATTAAATCATAGAGCCCTGAAAGCAAAGGTAAAAAGCCTGTTTTATTGCCTGAGGTTGTTTAGATAGTTGTTTTTCCTCTTGGTCATTTGCCTCTGTAACTTTCCTGGAAGCTCTGCCTTTAAGGGACAGCCTTGAGTAGGAGGAGAAGCAGCCCTCAATCACAGCTCGATCCCCCTTTCCTCCTCACAGGCCAACAAACTGGCAGAGAAGCGGAAGGCCCACGATGAGGCTGTGAGGTCTCAGAAGAAGGCCAAGAAGGCCAGGCCAGTGTGAGTGGCGGCAGCCTCTGGATGGGTGTGGCCTGCTCCCAGCAGCTGGACTTGGCACAGGCAGGCCGGAGGACCCAGGCTTGGTGGCAGACCAGAGTCTCTTCTGTTTTCATCCTCTTCCTCCCCCTGCCGGCCCTGGCTTCCTCTCACGCTCTCTGGCTGGAGCCCCAGCCTCGGTTGGATGGAGCTCCCTGCTGGTGACTGGGCAGAGGAGAGGCCTCTGTGCCCAGCCCAGCCTGATGCTCAGGAGTCAGTGGCATGGTTGGGGGTGTTGTAGGGGCCTGAGCAGCCTCTCAGGGGCTGCTTCCATTTTTCCTGGCTTCCTGCAGTGCTCGCCTCCCCTGAGGGATTGGACCTGTGATTCTCCTGCTGCTGTGGTGGGGTGAGGGTGGGGAAGCATTTGTTACCAAACAGCTAGAGTTTTAGAACCAGTTGAATTCTGTGTTCATGAGCCTTCGTGGGGTTGGAGAAGGGCCACCTAGTGAGTGGAGTCTGCGCTTGGTTCACATTCCAGCCCAGGTATTTTTCCTCTGTGAACATTGCTTCCTCCTGTGTAAATTAGGGGTAGAAGTTCTGGTGCGTCTCTGGGGGGTGGGGGTGGGGGAGGCGGGTTCAGTGATAGTGTTGTGCAGACTCCGTAGGGCCAGGTGCCTGGGAAGGAAGGTACTTTAAACACCAGCTGGGATTGTGGTAACTGGTTGCTAGAGTGAGCCCAGGACGGGGAAGCCAGCACCTGAGACCTCTGTGTGCCTTGAGTCGTGGGTACTTTACGTGGTAGGCTCATGGGCAGAACTGTCCAGTAACCGCCTGTGGGTGTTGCATGCAGTCTGACACGTGACCCTTGCTGGGCCGTCATTGCAGCTTCCCTCCTGCCCCTGACAGTGCTCTTGCTTAGGCCTGAGAGACCTGCCTTTGCCTAGAGGGCCAGTGCCTCACAGCAGAGCCAGGGCCAGAAACCAGTGCTTGGGATGGTCACTCAGCCCCTCCCAGATCAGGCAGGAATTTCTGAATATCCCCTTCAGGGTGCTGAGGGCTCTCAGGAGCAGGGGCTAGGGTGGTGGAATGTGGGTTTGGAACTGGGTTCCATGTACCCCTAGTCTAGGCACCTGAGAGCATTGGCCCTGTACCCCTCAACTGTGCCCAGGCTCTGTAGTTTTTTGGGCAGTGGCTGCAGGCCTGCCTGGGGGAGGAGGGTCCGGACAGGGGTGGGAGTGAGTTTGGACAGGCTCTGGCAGGAGAGCAGAGAACCCAGGCCCCTGTCTTGGCCAGGCCCTGCTGTGGGTGGAGAGGGCTGTGCTGTACTCTTGCACACTCGTGAGGGTGGGGCTGGTGGATGTGCTAACATGGGCAGGGTTGGGATCAGGGCCTTTGGGGCCAAAGCCTGTCCCTAGGGAATAACTTGGGCCTGCCTGGGTGCATGTGCATCAAAGGGGCCACGGCAAGGGTGCTAAGGCAAGGCTGGAGAGTGAGCCAATTGGATCCAGGAAAATCCCTGGCAGCCGTGCGGATGTGGAATTTTCCCCATTCCAGTGTCGCCCAGTTAATGGCGGGGGCAGCAGGGCTCTGCCACAGCCCATGCCCCACCGAGTGGCGAGTGGCGAGCAGGTTTTGCAATGCCCGCAGGTGGAGCTGTGCATTCCCAGCCCAGGTGGGCAGGAGTTCCTATCCTTGGTCCTCCTCTGCGGTGAGGAGGGAAGCTGGGGACTGAAAGAAGGTGGATCATGGTTGGGGTGCCTGCATCTGGATGTTGCTGTGTGCACCCCTTGTGGACACCCTGGAGAGGTGGGTCAGCAGAGACCTCCTAGTGGCCAGACTGGTTGGAGATAGGTCCCTTGCCTGAGCTTCCCTCAAGGGATCCTTCCCCCCATCCACATTTTAGACCCCAAAAACGTGTCCCCAACTCGCACTGACTTGAGCAGGAGGCCGTACCTTATGTTGGATGTTTAGGATTCCAGAGACCCCAGTAAAAGCTCAGCGACTAGTCTAGCCACTTCCCTTTCCCCAGAGCTGGGCTGCCCTCATCACCAGCACCACGCCACCCCGTTTCCCAGGCACCCTCGAATCCCCTTCCGGGCCGGAGCTCAGCCGAGCCTCAGGGTCCAGCGGTGGGACAATGGCCCTGTTGGCGCTCCCAAGACAAACGCGCCTTGTTGAGCCTGCGGCGGGGGCGCTGCGCTGCGCGCGGGGACGCTGAATGCGGCTTCTGTGCGTCCCAAGCGGGCGCGGAGGGGCCGAGAGGGGGCCGTGGCCGCCTGCCTATTGGCCACAGCACCGGGGGGTGGGCCAGGCTGGCGGCCGCACCTGGCCGGAGGGAGTGTGGTGGCGGCGGCGGCGGAGGCGGTGGAGGGAGCATGGTTCAGGTCCGGTGGAGTCGGGGGCCCGGGCGGGTACGCCCCGCCGCCTAGTGAGCGCCCGGGCGGCGCGGGCCCGGGACCGAAACAGCCACGCCAGGCCCGAGGAGAACGGGGCTAAGGTATGTTCTGGGGGCCCAGCACCCACTGCCTGCCTGTGCCCTGTCTGAGGCTGCAGCCGGCGCTACCCAGACCTCCAAACCGGGACCGTGGGAGTCACTTTCAGACCTGGGTGGTGCGAGAGTGCCAACAGCTTCTCCAGGGAATGAGTGCCCTTTGGGCTGACAGAGGGTCGGCAGCTGGGGGGGGGTACGTTGGTGTGTGCCCTGCCCTTGGTTTTTTTCCTCTTAGCCCCCTTTCCAGGGTTGTCCCAGTCCTCGGACAGGGTGGGTGGGGCTGGAACTGGGCTGGAGCTGGAAGTTCATTAATGATTAATCTCGGACACAGCAGCCTGAGCCCTGGGGGAGGAAGGGCAGGGATCTCCCCTGTTCCCACCAGCGCTCTCCAGAAGTGGTTGCGGGGGAGGGGCATCAGACCAGGGGCTGGGGCCAGGGGGAGGGATGGAGCCCCCTCTGCTTGGGGAAGGCCCAAGACCACCAAAGAGGAGCTCGGAAATGGGACAAGCCCTGATATCCAGGAAGGGTCCATAGGAAATCCAGCCGGTCGATTTTTTAGGACCAGTGTCAGGACGGGATACAGCTTGGTCTGCCCTCTCAGTAACAAGCAGGTACTTGGTCACAGCACAGAGCAAGACTGTGGTCTCTTCCCAGTAGGGCTCCCCATTCCCACCTGCCTGGAGCTGGAGAGGTGGCCGCAGTAGCATCTGCACATCTGGCTGCAGTAACCCACACCAGGAGGAGGGAGGGAGGGAGGGCTGCAGGCCTGACACCCGATCCCCTGGGTTGTCAAGGTGACAGGTGCCATGAAAATCCTCAGGAGGACAGTCCAGTTGGGAGAATCCAACCTCTTCCTTTACCAAGGGCATGACCTGAGACCCAGAGAGGTTAAGGCCACCGGCAGGCCTGGGCCAGAGCAGCCCCTATAGTGCGGCACTGTACTTTGTCCTGTGAAAGAGAGCATTCCCATTATCCTTAGGGGAAACTGAGGCCCAGGGCAATTCAGTGACTTGCCCAAGGTCATACATAATTCAAAGGTGGCTGAGTTGATTATGAATCAAAGGAGTCTTGTCCCAGCCCACATCTCAGGATTGCAGCCCTGCTCAAGACCTCTGCTGCTCTGGGGTCCTAGGCTCCCAGATCGGCCTGTGCTGCCCCAAACCCCTAGCTCAGGACCCCTCCCCCCCTTGCCTTCCTAGCTCCCAGCTCTGCCTGACACTCAGGGGGTGGGCAGACTGCTACCCTGGGAGCGGAGACAACAGAGCCCTGTTCCCAGCTGCCTCCTCGGTCTGCTTCATTCCCTGCTTCTCACTCAAGCCAAGCCCTGCCTCAAGGAAGCTCCCTGTGGACAGAGGAGCCTGATTCCTGCATATCCCCTTGTCCAGCGGGCCTGGGACTGCTGTTTGAGACATGGGGCAGATGCCCTCTTGTCCCCCAGCAAGAAAGGAGTGTTTCCCTGACAGTCCCCACTCCGGGCCCTAGGGGACCGAGTGTCACTGTGGTGAGAGGCAGTGATTAACCTAGGCGAATGAGGCACAGATGGTGGAATTGCAGGCGTGGCAGCAGGCCTGTGAAGAGCTTCTTGCTTCACTTGGACTGGGTGAGGAATATGGGGAAGAACAAGCCCTCTTAGGAGCGCTATTCTACTCAAGACAGGGAGGACAGGAGAGAGCAGAGGTGCCCTTGGGGATCAGTGGGCTGGGGGCTGGAGGAATCACCAGGTGGGGAGTGATGGTTGGAAAGAACTGGGGCCCCAGATGATAACTTCTTTTCCACCTGGCAGCCCCAGGTGGCTTGGGCACTCCCAGACCTGATTCCAGCAGTGCCCTCCCTGAACTGCCATGAGACGTTAGGCAAGTCCTTTCCTACCCGTGCCTCAGTTTCCCCCGATGTAAAATCTGGGGATGAGGGAACTGAGGTCTGGAGCATGGGAAATACAGGGGTTTGGATGGAGGAGGGTTGCCTTCCAGGAGTCTGCATTGGTGGGTCCTATTTCATCTGCCAAGTGGGTCTAGAAGGGTCATGATAATAATCCAAGGTTTGAGCAAAGGGTCCTGCATGCCTCGTCAGGTTTAATCCTTTTAGTAAGCCCTGAGAGGGGCAGAATATTCCCATTGTTAAGACAATGAGGCTCAGAGTGGGGAAGTCACTGGCCCAAGATCACCCAGCTGGGGACTGATAGAGTCAGAATTCATAGCTAGAGCATCTCAGCCTCTCCAGGAGGGGAGAGGCTGGTGGGCAGAACCTGGACATTGTGCATAGCAGGTGCTCAGCACCTTTTAAAAACCTTCATACTGTTACATTATTTATGCAAACAAGTGCATGACATTCCTTTGAAAAACATCTCAGCCATGCTAGAGGGTACAGAGAACGATTATTACCAACTTCTACATACTCACCTCCGGTGTTCCCAGTAACTGGGAGCTAATGAAGAAACCACTGACTTCTTGGTTAAGCTGTGTTTTTCCCCTCTGAAGCTACTTGGGGTCAACTCAGCCCTGGTGGTGACTTTGCCCAAACAAGGCGGTGTAGCAGGAAGAGCTTGCTTGTATTTCTGATTTGCCGGTGAACCCCTCTGCTAGTTTCTGAGCCTCAGTGTTCCCACCTATCCCATGGCTAGCAGGTGACCCTGGAAAGTCTGTTGGGGGTCCCAGGCATGTTTGACATTTGAAACGGTAGAAATAGGTGACCCTGCAAGATGAGGGTGCCTTCTGAATCATCAAAGAACATTGCCTTCTTTCAGTCAGCTGCAGGACCTGGGACCCAGCTGGCAGTCATCCTCACGGCCCAGGAGGCAGGCAGGAGGGCAAGACGTCAGGGCTGACAGTTTGGGGGTGGTCCTGTGAGCCAGCAGCTTGGGGTTCAGCTGAATTCCCTCCCCTGGGTTATCCTCCCCATCTCTCCTCCAGCACTCCACTCCAGAGGGGCACCCCACTTCTGGGTCCCTGCAGGGCACTGTGCCAGGGCTCCCGGCTGGAGGGCCAACCTGTCCTGTCTGCACCTTTAACTGTGCAGTCCACACTTCCCAGCTTCTCTGCCCTGGGCGCCTGCTGTTTGTTCCCCAGTTTTGGATACTGAGGCTCAGAGAGCTCTGTGGTCACACAGCAGGGTGGGGTAGGCCAATTCTCTCTCTTCCTCCAGCCAGACTGCATTTTTTTAAAAAAATGGAAACATCTTTTTCATTCTAATTTTTTTTTCAAAGTAATACAGACTCTTTGTAAAACAAAATTGTGTTTGTATGTGTGTGTGTGTATTTTTTACTTTATTATATATTGTAGACATCATTTAAATGAGTACATAATTAACCGTGGGGTAAATATCATGTAATATTTTTAATCATTCCCTATCATTGGACATTTAAGTTGTTTCTACCTTTCCCCTTTGCTATACTTTTGCACCCACCTTGGATCTCCTGTTAGGTTATCTTCTGTGAACAAATGGCCACAGGTGGAATTGCTGGGTCTGAGGATGGGTGCCTTTAGACCTGTAATAGTTGCTGTCAAATATGCAGCCCAAGCACTGTAGGGTGAGTCTTGTTGTTCCACTTTGAAAGTCTCCTCCAGTGTCCCCATGAGATTCCCTTCCAGGTACAAGAAACAGCCCTAGGACACCCTCACCCCTTTACCTTATCTTATAGAACCCTGTTCCTTTGTGTGTGCACTGAGCAAACAGCAGGGACGCCCATCAGGCAGGGAATGGTTCTTGGGGAGTAGTGCTCCATGGAATGTTCTACAGCCAATGGCTTTAGAGGCCCTTCATCTTTATCTCCTTGGGAGACTCTTGCTCTTCCAGCAGGGCTCTTCACCTTCCTCCCCCTTTCTCTGGTGGATTCCATCTGCTCCTTTGACCTCAGTTCTCACCTCTGTGCCCATGCCTCCCAGTCTCTTTCCATTGAGATCTCCCTCTTGTGCTCCAGGTAAGGGATCTTACTGCTCTTTGCATATTCTACAAGCATCCCACACATCCTTCAGACTCAACTTGTCCTAAACTGAAACTGACATTGCCGTTCCAACCCCAATACTAAACATACCCCTCTCTTAGCTTCCCCCACTCAGGGACTAGCTCCACCCCCAGCCAACTCCCCCCTTAGTCACCCCAACAGGGGTTTTTCCCTTCCCTCCTCCACACCCTATCATTCACCAAATGTTGTCTATGCCATGGCCTACAGATGGTTCCAGTTCATTCCCAGGCTTCTCCTTGGTCCGGGTCATTTCATACCTAGACAGCTGTAACAACCACTGTCAAGGTCTACGGGCTTCTCCCAGTCCTTCCCCACCCCTATTGTTCATTTTCCATCTAGCAGCCTGATGGGAATCCCATCTCCTCACTTCTTTGCTGGAGACTCTCCAGGGTTCCCCATTGCCCACAGGATCCAGGCCAGATTCTTTAGCATGCTTCCTCAAGACCCTGCATCTCCTGCCTGCCCCTGTCCCTTTTCTGGCTGTCCCTCTAGTCTCCCCCTGCAAACCCAGCCTCTGACATACACGCATGCTGCACACTCTGGCCAAGGTGAATATCTGTTAGTTTCTGCGTCTTTGCACATGCTTTTCTCTCTGTCTGGCTCATTCCAGGGTAACAGGTGCATTAGTTAAGCCTAGTTGCTGTAACAGACAAGGCCCAAGTTTGGAAAGGCTTAACACAATGGCAGTTTAGTTGTCATTTCATGAAATCTAATCGGGTGTTTAGGGAGTGGTGATGCCAATACCAGCCTCCTCCCTTCTTATGGCCCCCCACCCCCGCCCATCTCCAGATCATAGAAGACAGCCCCATTCATCCAGCATATGCCAAAGGAGACCACAGAGAAGGTCCGCCCACCTGTCATCAATAGCTATTATTCTGCTCACATTCCGTTGGCCAGAATTCAGTCACACAAGGACGCTGAACCACAAGGGAGGATGGGAGATGTAGTTCAGCCACACACAGGGAGAAAAGGGAACTAGCTGCCTTTAGAAATCAGAAAGCACGTAGCCTCTTCCACTACCAGGGATCCCTAACCCCAGGAAGTCTCCCTGAGCATGCTCTTCCTGTCCCCCTCAGGCTGGATCAGGTGTTTGCATTCCAACAAGCCCTTCCAGCCTGTCCCGCATCACAGCACCTGCAGCTGCCTGCTCCTCTCACCCCCAGGACTGTGAGCCCAGATCTCTGGCCCGGGAATCATGAACCCTAGCGTGGGGCACGGTGCAGTGGAACAGATCAACTGAAGACTCACTGGGGTCACAAAAGATGTCCTCAACCTATTGACATGGGAGGAGGGAGCAAGCGTAAGACAAAATGGGACACTTCTATCATCTGTACGGGTTTATAGACAGGAAAAAAATGTGGGGAGGCTTGTGCTAAAGTTGTAAGGGCAGTGACCTCTGGGAATGGGGCTTTTTTCATTGTCTTCTTTACAGTTTTCTGTACTTGTCTGAATTTTTTTTTTCAATGATATGTACTGTCTTTATAATTAAAAACATTTTCTATTTTTTGTTTCTTTGGCTGGGATGGGGGGAGAACCCACCGGAGATGATGTCACTATCAATACCCTGAGAGGAGAACCCTGTGGCAGGGCTGGAAGCGTAGGTTCTGCTCTCAATGCTTCCTACTCTAGAAAGCTCTGCTTTACGTGTCTCTTCTTTGCCTGCCTTCCCACCCCACCATGACCTTACCTTTTGTTCAGGAGTCTGATCTCCACTCCCTCCTGCCCAAGATCCTTAACCTCTGGTGACACGGTGCTTGTCACATCGCGTCCTTGAGCTTCAGCTCCCTCCTCTGTAAAGTAGGGGTGGCAACGAGGCCTTTAGTGGCAAGGATCATGAGGGTGTGTGATGTGTGGGAAGTCCTGAGCACAGGAGTGAACTCTGGTCAAGAGTCCACATTTATAAACCACCTCTCTGCTGTTTGTTACTAGCTCTGCCCTGACTAATCCCCCTCCCCATACATTTATTTGTTTTTAAACTAGCTCAGTCTAGAACAGATGGAACAGCTCTTTCCCGTGCCCTGGGCCAATCCAACACTGGGAGAGCTATGGACTCTTGGTCCTCCCTGTGGCTATTTAAGCTCTGGTATTTCATGGGGCCTTGAGGGATGCTCCCAGGCTAGGTGGGGCTATGGGGGAAAGGGCAAAGCATCTGAATGGTGTCAGATGCCTGCTGCTCCCTGAGAGGAGCTGGCAGCTGGTCAGCCTATGAGAGTGCTCAGTGCGAGATTAATGACTATCACAATAATGATCACTATCAACAGATGGTCAATTACCAGTAAACCTTGATCCCCAGGACTGCTGTGCCTGATGGAAGGATGTGAGGTGCTTTTCTAGGTATCCTCTGTTCATGGCAAGGCTGAACCCAGACCCAAAGACAAACCTAAACCCAGCTAAGAGAGGGTGTAAGAGATTTTGGCACCTTGGGTGAACCTGAGGGCCCTTGGGGTTTAGGACAGGGCTCCGAGAACTGCCTCTTCTTGCCAAGACCTTGGGAAGGATCGGCACCTGCAGCGGGCCTGAATCGCATGGTGTCCCGTGTGCCCATCCCCACACAGGATGCTGATAGGAGAGGCATGATCGATCTGTACTGCCTCTTTGATGAAGGACTTGGGGCTCAGAGGTGAAATCTCATCAGACTGATCCTCGAAGAGCTGGTCAGGTTCTCTGGTCAGGACTCCCAGGTGAGTTGCTTGCTTTTGTGGGCTCTGCTGATTTTAGGCAAACCTTGGTCTCTGGTTGTGTCTCAGTATCTCTAAGCCCTGGAATTTGGCAAGTCTGCATTTGGATTTTCTGCCTGGCTTTGACAGTCCCCGGCTAACTGTGTGACCCTGTACGGGTGAGTTTACCTCTCTGAGCCTCGATTCCTTTACCTGGAGAGTAGACTAATGCATAGAGCAGCCGTGGGACTTAAACGAGATGCCTTTCGAGGAGCAGTTAGCCTCCCCGACTCTCTGCAGGGCTCTGCGCTGCTTGTGTCCTTGGTGCAAGGACACCCAAGACCTGGCTGAGCCCCGGGACAAAGGAGCTGTCTGGCTGCTGGGGTCTAGAGATAGTCAGGGACCACCCGGAAGGTGCCCCTGGCAGAGGGCCCAGGCAGCACCTGCAGGGTACAGACACATGCCACCTGCTATCCCCAGGGAGGGAACTCATGAATATTCACACGCGCTGGAACATGAGGGAGCCCGCTGAGCAATGCTGGGTGTCATTGGAGCGTTCCTGTTTCCCAGTGACCGCAGAGACGGCCTGGGAGTCAGATGTGGCTCAGACAGGGAGAGGAGAGGGGCAGCCAGCCGAGGCCCAAGGTGAGTGTGTCTTCCTCCACCCCAGCACAGCGGTCCCTGGGGGAGCAGGACACCTGGGACCAAGGCCTGCCTGGTTGTGGCAGTGACGCCAAAGGACAGAATGTTTACCATCCCAGGCGTGGTTTCCCTGTGTGCCTGCTGTGGGGATGAGTCCTGTTTCTCCTTCGTTCTCTAGAGGGTGCTGGTCCAACGGAACAGGAAGATTGCTGGGCCTGGCCTGGAGCCAGCTGTCAGCGTAGATGGAGGACGATGTCGCTAGGGTAACCAAGAAAGATAGGAATAGAAGGGGAGGGACCATCGGCCCTGAGTGCCTGGGACTGTCACCACCTTGGGCAGAGGAAGAAAGACCCAGGTTCTAGTTCTGTCTGCTGCTGCTGTGCTGTGTGACCTCGAGGGTGACCCCACCCTCTCTGAGCCTTAGCCTCCCTGCTATGCTGTATTCCCGATTGGAGGCTGTGAGGCTCAGGCCACAGTGTAATTGTCCATGGTACTCCATGGCCTTGGACCTGGGGCTGTCCCCTGACTGCAAGCCTCCATCACAGGCAAGGGGGCACACACCTTGAAGGGGCCTTAACTGGGACCCTGGGAGGGCAATCATAATGATGTTAATTATACTGATGGCCATCCATGCCCAGCAGTGTCTGCTCTGCTCCAGCCCTGTGCTGGGCTCTTTCCTTGTGGGACGAGGAAGACCTGAATAGAGCATCTATGCAGGGGGGTGGCATCATCATTTTAGAGGAGAATCTAAGACCCAGAGAGGGACACAGCCTTGCCTAGATTTCCTTCTACAGAAAGGAAACGGCTGAACCCGGTATCAAATGCCAGGACCCTGGTCCCAGGTGCTGGCTCCAGGTGGCCCTTGGATGTGTGACTCACACATGTGGCTCTCACACCCTTGAGTTAGCAGCAGCTCCCTTCTGCCCTGAGGGCCATGGGGGTTATTCACCAAACATTAACTAGGTGCCAGGCTCCAATAGCGCAGGGATGAGTTCCCTTCATGCTTGTCTGCCTCTGGGCACAGACAGGATCTCTCCTCCCTTATGGGAGGACTGGGAACCTGGGCCCTGGTCAATAGTGATGGTAATAATAATTAATGTATATTGATCTCTGTCTGTGTACGTGCATCCTGGTGTTGAAATCTCAGTCTCATGACTCTTCTCCGCTAGGCTTCTGGCTGCCAGCCAGCCCCTGTCTGGAGTTTGGTCTCCCCAGGGACTCTGCCTGTGATTACCAAGGACCCTGTTTGCCCCGATCTTGGTGCTGTGTGCCCATTGTACACGTGAGGAGACTAAGATGGGGAGGCTGAGCGGCATGCCCAAGTTCACAGAGGCCAGGCAGGAAGGCTGTTGAGACAGTAGGGACCAGCCCCAAAGTGCCCTCTGTTTCTCCTCTCTTCCTCCTGGCTGCCCTGGCCCAGCCCACAGGGGCCAGACCCTGCTGTGCTGCTGGGACAGAGACCCATTAGCCACACTTTGGCCTCCTGTGGTCGATCTGTTTGTCATATACACACTTCCTGCAGGCTTGGGACTGGGCTTGGGACACGCCAGGCGGGGGATGCCACGGACAAAGCTGTAGGGTTTATATTGGAGGCCGACAGACTAGGGCCTGAATCCCAGCCCTGCTCCCTGCCTTGCTGAGTGACCCTGGGCAAGTCATATCACTCCCTGGAACCTTGATTTCCCCATTTGCAAAATGTGGGTGATAGGAGGTTAGCCTCCAGGGATAGCTGAGCAGGATCAGTGAGATGCTCTAGAGAAGCCCCTGCCCAGGGCCTGGCTCATAACAGGGGCTCCAAGGTGAAACCCGAGGGCAGGCATGGTTTCAGAAAGCCCAAGTGGCAGAGTGGACAAAGGAATGAGTGAAGCCGTGATGGGCTGGTTGGGGGCGCTGTCCTGGGCCAGGCTAGGCGGAGCCTGATTGGTGGTTCTGAGGAGCTGGTCTGCCCCCTGCTGCTGGGCCTCCACCCCAGATCTTCTGCTCTCAGCCTCCCTGATTTCCAGAAAGTGCCCTGGTGAGTGGGGCTGCTGGGGCAGGAGTGGGCCCTGGGATCTGGGGAGGGCAGGAATTTTACCCTTCCGTGTTTTAAAGCCAGAGAACCTGAGGCCTAGGGCCCCACTTAGGGTTTGGGCTGGGAGTCTGAGGCTCTGGCCGGGCCTACTGCTCTGCCCTATTTTCTACTGGGTCCCCCAGCAGGATGGGAGCCCAGTTGGGGCACGTGATGCATGAAGCTGCTTTGTGCTGGGACTGGGCAGCCTGAGCCCACCCTGAGGGTGACAAAGACTGAGACGACCAGGACCAGGTCCCCAGGGGCTCAGGAGGGAAACAGCTAACACTCTTTGAGAGAGAACTACATGCTAATTGCTTTCTTTGCCTCCTCTGTCTCTGAAAGAGTCAGTGATGGCGGCGGGGGGGGACTATCAGCTTCCCAATTTTACAGATGAGAAACTGGGACTCCATGGGGGTTCCTGTGACTGAAACACAGGCTTGGGGCCTCCACAGCCTGGGGTCAGCACCTCCCCTTCCATGACCAGACTGGCTAGCCACCTTACCCCACCCTGCATTCTTTATCACCTATTATTTAAATATGTTGAAAAAATTTTGCCCTTTTTTTGGATTAAAAAAGTAGTTGTTACAGAAATGCATAATATAGAAAAATATTCCCGTATATACCCCTTTTCCCAGCAAGGTAGAGGATACTGCTGTTAAAATTTAGAATACTGCCCTCCAGTTGTTTCTGGGACTACATGTATACATAAATGGATTTGGGGGCATAGTGTTCTGGAAGTTTCTTTTTTTTTTTTTTTTCCACATTATTAGATCATGGTGTGTTTTCAGCCAGTCCACTTAGCTCTGTCTTGTTTTGTTAATGTGTGCAGAGGACTCCGTCTGGAACAGGTCTCAGTTTGCGTAACATCCCCCACTGATGGACGTTGAGGTCGTTTCTAATTTTTTAAGTTTAACACCATGCCATGTGGGACTCTGCCGAAGTGTTTCTATAGAATCATTGGAATTTGGAGAGCTTATACCTTCCTCTTTTGCTAGGACGAACTGCCTTCTAGAAACATTCTCCCCCGTTCTCGTTTACCCCTGCCTTGTCCACCTTGCCCACCTAAGAGGGAACAGGGCTGTGTCATTGTCCTGAGGGAGGCTAGCTTCTCTTTTGTGTAGCTTCTTCCTCTGCACATTGCTTCCTCATGTCCTTTCCTGTGATGAGAAATTTCTAGAGTATGAGCAGAAGACTCAGGGCTGTCTGGTGGGGTGGGACCTGGAGTGCCCCTTCTCCAAGAAGGGTTTATGGGTGTCTTGGGTAACTTTCCCAGAGGGAAATATGTGGGGTCCTCCTCTAGGCAGGCTACTTAGCCTCTGCCCCCAGGGATGGTAGGGACATGCCGTGTGTGTGGTCACGGGGTGGCGTGCATGAGTTCTTGTGGCCTCAGAGGCCCAAGGCCCCCATGCCGCGAGTGTTAGAGCCAGAGTGGAAAGTTTTGTGCTCTGGTCTTACAGCTAAGGGGAGGGAGGAAGGTGCCCTAAGCCCCAGCTCTCTCCTGGACTCCCATCCCTCAGCACGAACTACCTGCCTTACAGTTCATGCCTCAGTCCCCCGCTGTTAGGGTTGCCGCAGTTAGACCAAAAGACTAGACCAAAAACTTCTCCCCAAACCCAAAACAAACAACAAAAAAGACACCCAGTTAAATGTAATTTTCAGATAAACGCTGAATAATTTTTAGTATGTGCTATGCAGTAGTAAAATTAAACAAATTTGGGGGCACCTGGGCAGCTCCATTGATTAAGTGCCCAACTCTTGGTTTCGGCTCAGGTCGTGATCTTGTGGTCGTGGGATCGAGCCCCACGTAGGGGGCCTCTGTGCTCAGCACGGAGTCTGCTTCAGATCCTCTCCCCCTCACTTTGTCCTCCACACTTGCGCATGCGCACACACTCTCTCAAATAAATAAATAAAAACTTCAAAAATAAATAAAATTACACAAATTTTATTCATTGTTTATCTAGAATTCAGATTTATCTGGGCATCCCTGCCTGCTGGCAGCCAGAGAGAGGAGGTAGGTCTGGCTGGGTGACCTGAACCCTCTCCTTCCTCACTCGGAGCTTCAGTTTCTCCATCTGCCTGCCCTAGAGACCCAGGGACACAGGGACCAGTGAAAAGAGCTGAGGAGCCAGCCCTTCACTGGGCAGCTGGAAAGGGTGGCACAGGGAACAGGTGACACTGGCTGGGTCTTTGAAAAGTGAACGATTCCTTGTGAATAGTGCTGGCCCCAGGCCTGGGGTGAGGGGAGAACGGGCCACTGGAAGAGGGTCTTCTTTTCTGTCTTAGAAAAAAATTCATTATGAAGCCCCAAAACGTATGAAGTAAACTGATGACACCCAGGTACCCACCCTACCCTTAAAAACTTAAACTGAGGGACACCTGGGTGGCTCAGTCAGTTAACTGGCTGCCTTCAGCTCAGGTCATGATTTCAGGGTCCTAGAATCAAGTCCCGCATTGGACTCCTTGCTCAGTGAGGAGACTGCTTCTCCCTCTGCCCGCTGCTCCCCCTGCTTGTGCCCCCCCCTTCCTAACAAATAAATAAATAAAATCTTAAAAAAAAAATTAAAACGAAACAGTTAGTAGAACCTTCTTCTTGTGCCATCCCCCAGTCTCTCTCTGTATTGGCTTTGCCCACCGTCTCTGTCTGTGCCCCTGTCGCTGTGTCTGTGTTTGTCTCTCTGTCCTCACGTGGACCTTGCCGGGGGGCCACAGAGCCTGCAAAGGGCAGTCTCAATGTTAAAGGCTGCCCCTGACCCCGCCAAGCCTGGAGCGGGCATGGGGGCTCCCCAGGGCTGGCCTCCTGATGCTTGGCCCTGCTCTGTGACCCCACAGGTGTCTGAGATGCCGCTGCCACAGAAGAAGCGCTGGGTGTCCATGGCCAAGGGGCTGGTGCTGGGCGCACTCTTCACCAGCTTCCTGGTGCTGCTGTACTCCTATGCTGTCCCCCCACTGCACGCTGGCCTGGCCTCCACGTGAGTGGCTCTCCTGGGGGGCTGAGGGGTGGGGTCTGGGGTGTGGGGGCACCCTGGGCCCTGCATTATGCTGTGCTGGGCAGAAATGGTGCTACGGGCAGAGCTGTCTGTGTAACGCTGGGCCTCAGTGTCCTCTGTAAAATGGGCATGATAACAGAGCCTACCTCATAGAAGTATGAGGACCCAGTAACGCTGTGTGTGGGGCTGGGCTGATCACCATCTGAGGCTCCAGTGGGGCCGGGAGGTGGGGGTGACTTGTCCAGGAGAACTCAACTGACACAAGGCCCAGATTCAGACCGGGGACTGTCTGCACCCCCCCACCCCCCGCCCCAGGCCTGGCTCCTAACCGTGAGGCTATCCCATCCCCTCATGGGGCTGCTGTGCCCAGGCCTGCCATGGTTGGTGCTCTTAGCTGGTGGTATCAAGCCGAACTAGAGGAAATCACCAATGATTGACTATTTTGGGTTGAAAACCAACCTACAAAATTTCCTGTGGTCCAGCCTCTGCTAATTGGTGATAAACAGACAATGCCATGGCCAGGAATGAGACAGGAACCAGCAAGCTTGTCACACTTGGACCTCACACCAACATCACAGAGGGGCTGTTATTTCCCCCATTTCACAGATGAGGAAGGTGAGGCCAGAGAGGCCAAAGCACCCTGCCCAAGCACCGCAGCCTGGACGCAGGCCTGTCTGGTCCCCTGTCCTGGCTCCCCTCCTCCCCACCATCCCCAACAAGCCCCAATCTTTATAGACACCGGTGCACTGGGGGTTCTGCCTCCGGGAGGGCCCCCAGCAGCCCCTGAGACTCTCCCCACCATTCCGTCCACAGAAGGACCCCAGAAGGCACAGCGCCCTGCTCCCCGGAGCCCGCTGAGCCGGAGACCCAGACCCCGGCCAACAGCTCTGCGGGAGCTTGCCAGCCTCGGCGCGACATCGTGTTCATGAAGACGCACAAGACGGCCAGCAGCACGCTGCTCAACATCCTGTTCCGCTTTGGCCAGAAGCACGGGCTCAAGTTCGCCTTCCCTAACGGCCGCAACGACTTCGACTACCCAGCCTTCTTCGCTCGCAACCTGGTGCAGGACTATCGGCCCGGTGCCTGCTTCAACATCATCTGCAACCACATGCGCTTCCACTATGACGAGGTCCGCGGGCTGGTGCCGCCCAACGCCACGTTCATCACCGTGCTCCGCGACCCCGCCCGTCTCTTCGAGTCCTCCTTCCACTACTTCGGTTCGGTGGTGCCCTTCACGTGGAAGCTCTCGGGCCGCGACAAGCTGGCCGAGTTCTTGCAGGACCCGGACCGCTACTACGACCCCAACGGCTACAACGCCCACTACCTCCGCAACCTGCTCTTCTTCGACCTAGGCTACGACAGCAGCCTGGACCCCGGCGACCCGCAGGTGCAGGAGCACATCCTGGAGGTGGAGCGCCGCTTCCACCTGGTGCTCCTGCAGGAGTACTTCGATGAGTCCCTGGTGCTGCTCAAGGACCTGCTGTGCTGGCAGCTCGAGGACGTGCTCTACTTCAAGCTCAACGCCCGCCGCGCCTCGGCCGTGCCGCGCCTCTCCGGGGAGCTGTACCGGCGCGCCACGGCCTGGAACGTGCTGGACGCCCGCCTCTACCGCCACTTCAACGCCAGCTTCTGGCGCAAGGTGGAGGCGTTCGGGCGGGAGCGCATGGCCCGGGAGGTGGCCGCCTTGCGGCGTGCCAACGAGCGCATGCGGCGCATCTGCATCGACGGGGGCAGGGCCGTGGACGCCGCCGCCATCCAGGACTCGGCCATGCAGCCCTGGCAGCCGCTGGGTGCCAAGTCCATCCTCGGCTACAACCTCAAGAAGAGCATTGGGCAGCGGCACGCGCAGCTCTGCCGTCGCATGCTCACGCCTGAGATCCAGTACCTGATGGACCTCGGCGTCAACCTGTGGGTCACTAAGCTCTGGAAGCTCATCCGGGACTTTCTGAGGTGGTGACACCCCGCCCACCCGCAGCCCCCTCGGCCAGCTGGATCGCTGAGGAGGGGCTGCGTGGGGGCGCAGGGGGTGGGGTGCCGCCGGCTTCCACTGGGCCCTCTTGGTGCCACCCCGGCTCCCGGGGTGAGGTGGGGGCTGCTGCGGGGGGCATGGCCAAGCCGGAACGGGGCCCTCGGCAGGCAGGGCCTCAGATCAGTATTTGACTAATTCTAGTTTTTTTTTTTTTTTTTAAAGAATTAAATCCCCTTCCCTCCAAAAAAGAATGTTCTATTTCCTGCCTCCCCTTAAAGGGGAGAGTTCAGAAGTAAAGGCGTTTGATGTTGTGTTTTTTGTTAATCAGCCTCAGTGGTGCTGACTGGTGGGGCCCTGGGTGGGAGGTGACCCATGAGGATGGGGGGACCTGCAAGAGAGCATGGCGGGTGCCTGAGTGTGTCTGTGGGACGGAGCCCAGTGGTGTGGCAGGGTTTGGCGACACCTGTTAGGTGCTGAAGCCCTGTGTGGTTGAAGGACTCCCAGGAACTACCAAAACCTGGAAGGGCGTGTGTACGCACGCATGCGCGCGCGTGCGATCATCCTGGAGCTCTACCAGTCACTGAGTCCAGCCCAACACTGGTTATGTGTCCAGCACTAGGCTGAGTGTGTTATTTCAATTCATCTTCATCAAAAGTCAGCAATGCGGGAACTGTCATTTCCTCATGCCAGAGATGAGGAAGGGAACTCAGAGAGGGAAAGTCATCTGGCCAAGATCACACAGCAAGTAAGTGGTAGGACTGGAACAGGGGCTGGGGAGGATGGAGTGTGCATCCAGATTAAGATTAAGAGTCCATGCGTGTGTGTGTGTGTGTGTGTGTGTGTGTGTGTGTGTGATGGGGAAGTGGGGAGTTCTTGGGGTAGCATTGAGCAGCAGGCCCTGGGCCCAGGCTGAGGGTTCCTTGTATAATCCCATTAATCCTCACGGTCACCCTTCGAGGTAGGCACCATTACCATCCCATATTACAGATGTGGGAATTGACATTCTGAGAGAGATCAGAAGGGACTTAACTGAAGTACACATCAGACCCTAAACTAAACCTTCTCTCTGGGGCCCCAGACGCCTTGCAGCAGTGTGAGTATGCCTCAGCTTTAACCACCTGCCTCCCTCAGCCTCCCCAGGGGGACAAGTTCCCTCTCTGGGGCACAGGACTTATGGGTCTCTAACTAGGAGCCAGGAGCCAGACACAAAAGGTAGAATCCACAGCCAAATGAGTTTATTGGAGAACTGTCTGTACCAGGCTCCAAGCCAAGTACTTGTACACCTTATCTGGATATCCACAACATCCCAGCTTTATAGAGCAAAACTCAGAGAGGTTAAGTGATTTACTAAAGGTCACCATCTTATTACTGTAGGAACTGGGTTTCAGGCCAGATAAGTGAGCTCTTAACCCCTCCCTGGATTTGAATCAGTCTTTCTCCTGGGAGTGAGTTTCTGGTCCAAGCAGGGTGGAAAGAACTTAAGGGGACCAACTGTCTCAGTATGCTGGGATTGTCCCAGTTTTTGCACTGAAAGTTCCCAAATCCCAGGAAACTCCTCAGTCCTAGGCAACCAGGATGGTTGGTCAGCCTGGGGGAGTTTTGAACTCACCAAACCCCTTTAGCCTCCTAAAGTTCTTTGCAGCAAGAAATAAGGACACTTATGAAGGCTTTATTTAATTCATATGGAAAGAACTAAGGGTAAGGAAGGAAGGAAGGATAGCCAAGAGAGAAAGAAAGAAAGAAAGAAAGAAAGAAAGAAAGAAAGAAAGAGCCAAGATATTATTGACTCCAAATTTATGAGATAATCTCCCCCCAATACACATTTTATTTGTCAAAGAGAAATATGATTTAGTGCAATAAAATAATATCTTGGGCTTGTGGAACCTCCTAATTTTATTTCCTTGGACCTTAAGGGCCTATAAATACCGATAATAATATTATATGCCATCTAATTATTTATTATTAATATTGGCACTTCTAAGCCCTTAGGGATCCAAGGAGAATAAATCTGGCAAATAGTAGATGCCAAGAATATAAATTGCTCCATTAGCATTTACTATCTGTCTGGTTTAAGAACATTACAGTTATTAACTCATTTATTAACATAATTAATATTTTAACAATGAGTAGTTGACTGGTATGAGCGGGCACTTTGTGCTCAGCTCTATGCCCCATGGGAACATGAACAATCCCCTTTGCTCTCTTGAGGAGGCGACCAAAACACAGAGAAATTGAGCGACAAGCCCAGGGTCAACCAGCCATGCAGCCATAGAGGCAGGATGCAAACCCAGGTCAGTCAGACACCAAGGGCTGGTGCTTGCAGCCTCCAGACCCTCGGTGCCTTCTAGTTGGCCATCTCAGCCTCGGGATGGAGGTCTTCTCAATGGTTGAAAATGTATGAAGTCTCCAAGGGGCAGAGCTGCTTAATCCCCAGGAGCCACACTGCTGTTGCCACACCTGGACAGCAGAGGGCGCCATGGTACCAAATTTGGTCAGCCGGTCATGACGGTCGGCGCCGCCAGGGGCTGGGGGCACCCATGGTTAGGCCTGGGCCTACAGGTGAAAGCCAGGGCGAGGGTCATGATTGTGCCCTGGGAGAAATTCAGTGGAACTACCTGTTCCTCTCTGTTATGAGATGAATTGTAACCCCTAAAAAGATACCTCGAAACCCTAACCCCCACTTCCCTATGACTGAACTTATTTGGAAATAGGGTCTTTGTACATTTAATCAAGTAAAGATGAAGTCATTAGGGTGGGTCCTAATCCAAGATGGCCAGTGTCCTTCTAAGAAGTGGCAATGTCATGTGTCCCTTCACAGGGACAACGCCATGTGAAGACAGGCCAAGATTGGCGTGAGGCAGTTACAAGCCAAGGAATGCCAAGGGTCAACAGTGACCTCCAGAAGCTAAGAAGAGGCAATGAAGGATTCTACCCAGAGTCTCAGAGGAAACATGGCTCTGCTGACACCTTGATTTCAGCCTTCCAGCCTTCAGAACTGTGAAAGAATAAATTTCTGTTGTTTTAAAGCCATCCAGCTTGTGCCGCTTTGTTACACAGCAGCCTCAGGACACACACACATGGTCTGTGCCCGGTCCCTGCTCTGGGTCAGGCCTCTGTCCCTCACCTGGATCCCTTCCCCCAGGCTTGCCCCTGTGATCCACTGATAGCCAGAGGCCATCCTAGGTTCTGAGCGCTCCATGGTCCCCCTCACCCCTGAGGAGAAGCCATGAAACTGCTTCGCACAGGCTCTTCCCTCTACCATAAAGTGTCCTTCCTGTTGCAGGCCTAACATCGCTAAGTGACTCCAAAGCAAGCTCTGCCGCCTCCTCTGGACCTTCTTCCCCGATATCCTAGCCCTCAAGCTAGCTTAGGGCCTCCAGGCTCCCCATCTCAGTTCCGCTCACCAGGGCACAACTGCAGAGGTGCTTGTCGGCCAGGCACTGATGGTGTGCTTCTCCAGGACAGGATCTGCGTTTGTCTTGACACAAGCAGCCTCTAGTACCCAGGCCAGTGCCCGGCACACAGTTGGTTTTCAATAAATGTTTAAAGGGGAAAGGAAGGAAGGAAATAGGGAGGGAGGAAGGGAGAAAGGAAGGGAAGAAGGGAGGAAGGAAGGAAAGAGAAGAGGAAGGGAGGGGAGGGATGGATGGAAGGGAGGAGGGAAGAGAAGAAGGGTGCCTGGGTGGCTCAGTTGGTGAAGCATCTGATTCTCCATTTTAGTTCATCATGATTTCAGGGTCATAGGATGGAGCCCTGTGTAGAGCTCTGCACTCAGAGCAGAATCTGCTTGAAATTCTAGCCAGTAGGGCAAGAGAAAGTTACTTCCTCCCTTGAGGGCATTCCAGAGCCTACTTGCCTTCTTAAGTGACTGGGCCCTCATTTTCACTGGAAGGTAACACATTAGCCAAAGCACGCAAGTGCAGGAATGAATTCACAAGGTGAAAAGTCATGTGTTGCTGGGATGGGACACAGGTCAGGTAAGAGTTGACAGGGATTGGTAGAGGCAGGGACCCAGGGGAACACTTACTCTGGGGAGTAGGCAGGTCCTGGGCAGGCTGGGGACAACCCAGGGGTACTAGAGAGCAGTAGAGAAACTGTGAAAGGAAAGATAGCCCTTGCCAACTTCCTTGCCATCATGTCTTTGATAAGCTCTTATTGAGCACCTTCTGTGTACAATGTACCATGATGGGTGCTCAGGTGGGAATATACAAAGATGAACCAGCCTCTTAAGGAGCCCAAGGCAGGGACCTATGAGGGGCTCACAACGGCTGGGCGGAGAGCAGATGACAGTGAGGTATAGGACTTCAGTCGGGGAGGGGAGGCTCAATTGCCAGCGAAGAATACAGAGCAGAAAAAGGAGCAGACCAGGCATTTGGAATAGGTTTTGAGGGAGGCAGATACTGGATGCAGGATGATACTGCAAGGAAAGGCATTGCAGGGAGAAGAAACAGCAGAAGCAAAAGCTGGACAGGAAACAGTGGAGAGGCAAGAGTCCTGGAATAAGAAGGCGAGAAGGAAAAATCAGCTCCGGAAGGACCCCAGATGGACTTGCACTTCAAGCTCAGGGGTTTACAACTTCTCTCCTTGGCAGCAAGGAGCCAAGGGGGGCTTTGGAGCAGGGGAAGGCTCTTGGAGGCAGGCTGCCGGAGGATGGACCAGAGGAGCTGGGAGTGGGGAAGCAGGGGAGGGGCCAGGGAAGCAGCAGGGGAGGGTGGTCTGCATTTGCCCCAGGGGCTAAAGCTCTAGTTTATGGGTCTGTGGGGGTGCTGAGGAGGTCCTACAGGAGGAGCAGATCCACTCCAGTTACCCCCACGCAAGACCAAGGGAAGACCATCAGGGGCTCAGCTGGGCCATCCACGTGCGTGCTCTGCTGGGCCATCCACGTGCGTGCTCTGCTTGGTGCTGGGCACGTGGGGTTCAGTGTGCTGAGTGAGCACTAAGTTCAGACAGTCTCCATAGTCACACAACTGCTGCACGGCCTCAGACCT